CATAGAACAGCAAATATGCCATTTTCAGCCCAACCAATGTTAGACAACCTATTTAGAGACCTTAAGGACCAGCACCAAATACCCTATATAATCATTCTATCACCCCTTTAAAGTTAATTTGTTTCATTACAAACAGTTCCAGTTCAGTCTGATTAGGAAACAGAGGCCCTTTTACCAATAAAGTGCTGTAAAAGATCTGATTTATTTATATTTCGTAATTTTGACCTGGCCATTTAACACATGCTTAAAAACAGTTTTTAGAAGCTGTGTGACACACCGTAGGAAAACCGTGAGCAAGTCGACAGAGCCCCATCTAAAATAGCAGATAAAAGGCCTGAGTTTCTGAGAAAAAGCTCAGTTTTATTTTATTGTAAACATGTGCTTGTTGAAGTTGTGGAGAAACCACTCAAAGCTTTAAATGACAGTTTGAGAGGTTTAAAAAAAAGTAAAACTTGGCCTGTTTTTTACCGTTTATCCCAGCTGGACGGTGTTACACCATAGTCTGTGACCCATATCATATTTTGATTGGTGAGGAGAATCTGGAACAGATTCCCTTTTAGTCATTTAATATGACACCCTAAATGGCTTAGATGATTATCCTTGATTTGTTGTTTTTGTCCACTTGGTTATGCCTTTTCTCTGCTGTTTTTGTATTAATTTTAAATTATAACTAATTTACATTTTCTTACATTTGACTCTTTGTTTAGCATTATTCCTTTTGTGTTCAGTTATATCTTGATGAATCATATTCCTTTTTTCAGTAAGGTCCCCACTAAGCTTCACTACATTTTGTGATCTGATTGCCATGCATCATGTCTCTGTAGTTCCCTTCAGTCCTCTTTAGTTTCTTGTCTCTACTCTTCACTGTTGCCTTGATGTATTTGTCAAAGCCAGGGTTGATCAGGCTCTTTTGTTGCATGTTCACATTGTTAGTGCTTTTAAACAAAGAAATTTTCACCTTCTATATATAAAATTGTTGTTATCAAGCCTGTTTGAACTCCACAACAAAACATGACATTCAGAGGAATCTGTTAATTGGACCTTTTATGACTTTTTAACAGTAAAGCCAACGCCATTTATAGCCACTTTAGAAAAAGCACAACTGATCAGAGTGCTGAAAGAAATCCCAAAGTTGGACATAAATGGAGAAACACCAGCCTGTGATTCCAGGTTGATCTCTCTGTCGTGTCATCAGACAGATTCAACCGGTTTTTTATTTCTGTAGCTCCTCTATAGTTGCTACCTGCTATTATTGTTAACTAATTTGAATAAAATGATAATAACTATAATTTAAAAATATTTTTTTTTACTAAAATAGAAATAAAAACTAGACCTAACAAAAAAAGTGAACATTATTTGAAACTGTAATAAAAGTTTACAAAAGTAATTAAAACTATCTGAAGTTAGTTTGCATGTTCTCCCTATGCATGGGTGGGTTCTCTGCAGATCCCACAGTCCAAAAACATGACTGTTAGGTTAATTGGTTTCTCCAAATTTTTCTGAGGTGAGTGTATGTGCATGGTTGTAGGTCCCTGTGTGTCTCTATCTATGTTGCGCTGCGATGGTGTGGGGACCTATCCAGGGTGCACCCGCCTTTTGCCCATAACCTGCTGCAGATATGCGGCTCTGACATAATAGGCAGGGATGATGGATGATGGAACTTTAAGAGAGAATTTACTTTATTTTTGGTTGTATCTTTATCATAATGCATTGTAATACGAGTTCTACTTTCTGGTTGCTGTTTCTGTTTTGTTTTTTCTTTGTACCACATTACACCAGTGATTGACCGCTTTGTAAAAATGAAAAATAGGAGGTACACTTTAATGCTCAAAAAATAAAAGAAAAACTTAGTTCAGTTTGAGTTAAAATTTCCACTGAACTAAAACTCTAAAATAGGAATTAATGATTACTTCAGAATGTGTATAAGGAAACTTTGTATTTATCAAGGTTGGTGATGTCTTATTTTTCATAGCTGCAATGTTGAAAATGTTCATGTTTGTTGAAACAAATATGCTCTTATACTCATTAATATCTCAACTGGTAATTTTGGTAGGAATGTATCAGGGTGGGGCAGTGTGCTTGTCTGTATTTGTGTATGGAAGGAGGGGCATATGCGGTAGGGGGCCAGTGCCCCAGTAAAGCTTTGTGCCTAGCAACGCCCCTGGATCTGAGTAAGATTTCAATTTCTATCAAAGTCTGTTGTCAGGTCTCATGGTTATTTAATACATATAAGTTATTAAATGGTATTTAAAGAGTTTGTCCTGATTGATCTCTTTTCAGGAAAAAGAACTGGACAGATAGAGCATGTACTGTAGACACAGAGAGCCTATCCTTAACACAGACAACGAAGAGGGAAGGAATGAATGTATTTGCATTTTTGAAATTAAAAATAGTTGAATAAAGTTTGTGACAAATTAGAGCAGCAACAAACATATTTGTATGCACTTAAGCCAAAATTAGAAACACTATGGCTCAATTCAAGTATAGCAGCATGTAAAATTTAAGAAAAAAAAACAAAACAGAATATTAACAGCCACCATAGAACAACCATCCCAGAGACTGTAAAAGGACTTTGCCTTAATGTGCAAATCACATTAAGAGGTTTCTTTTTCCTCCCTAATGTTCTTTTACAGGCTTTTCAAAAAGCCCATTTGTTTTTAATAACTGTTATGGGTGAAGTAGGTGCTGTGAGGAGCTGGTCAAGGTAAATCAAGCTGTAAATCTAAATGTGGTTTCCTCTTTTTGATTCAGAGTCCAGATGAGCAAGAAAAACATCTTTCCTGGGTTTATAATTGATATCTTTTAGACCGACCTTTTTTGTCAGTAAAATTTTTTCTTTTTTCTTTTCTTACATTTGTTTGTATCAGTTTGAGATTCATAGGTAAATTGCACTGTAAACAATATTCAATATTACCATTGTTGTTATTTCTTTAATAATAATTTCCATCATTACCTCCATCTCCGTGGCTTAGCACCAAGGGGCCCTCCAGGACTACATGTGGGGCCCTCAGCCTACGGAAAAAGGAACATCTTAGTTTTAAAATAATTTTTATTCTGTTGCTTTTCTTTTTTAAATCATTTATAGAGCATTAATAAAGATTTAAAATTGGCAATATCAAAAAGGAAAATTAGAAATTAAATGCAATAAAGATCTGGTTATTATGAATTAGGTTTAGATGAATGCTGATCTCTCCAGTTCATAGGTCAGCATTGGTTGCCCTTCCCATCAAGTAGCCCTCAGCCTTAAAAAAGTTGGTGACCCCTGTTTTATGGTAACTCTCAAACTGCTAGTGGCAAATACAATTTGCTCCAATTCATATAATATAATGGGATCAAACCTGTTTACACATCTTATCCCTTTCCTTTGCATTCTTTTTGGATAACCTGTATTATACCCCTGTCCTTATGTATGTAAATATCTGTCATAATATTCAGGTGTATCTGTTTTGATTTTTTTGTTTTTAAATCAAGCAAACACAACCGTTTTGCCGTAATACTTGAAGTAATTTAAAGAATTACAGAAAAGGTTAAAAACATCTATGATTTCACTGATATAATTTTGTGTGTCTTTTTTTATTTTAAATCAAACGTCCATGATATAATTACCTATCTGGAGCCAGAAAGCTAAACAGAATGTGCACTTTACCTTTTTAAAAATGCTGTTTGAAAAGTATCTAGTAACACTTATAAATTAGGTAATTAAATATTAAACTATTCTTGATTTGATGGATTTTGCTACATCTAANCAAGGGGCCCTCCAGGACTACATGTGGGGCCCTCAGCCTACGGAAAAAGGAACATCTTAGTTTTAAAATAATTTTTATTCTGTTGCTTTTCTTTTTTAAATCATTTATAGAGCATTAATAAAGATTTAAAATTGGCAATATCAAAAAGGAAAATTAGAAATTAAATGCAATAAAGATCTGGTTATTATGAATTAGGTTTAGATGAATGCTGATCTCTCCAGTTCATAGGTCAGCATTGGTTGCCCTTCCCATCAAGTAGCCCTCAGCCTTAAAAAAGTTGGTGACCCCTGTTTTATGGTAACTCTCAAACTGCTAGTGGCAAATACAATTTGCTCCAATTCATATAATATAATGGGATCAAACCTGTTTACACATCTTATCCCTTTCCTTTGCATTCTTTTTGGATAACCTGTATTATACCCCTGTCCTTATGTATGTAAATATCTGTCATAATATTCAGGTGTATCTGTTTTGATTTTTTTGTTTTTGTTTTTAAATCAAGCAAACACAACCGTTTTGCCGTAATACTTGAAGTAATTTAAAGAATTACAGAAAAGGTTAAAAACATCTATGATTTCACTGATATAATTTTGTGTGTCTTTTTTTATTTTAAATCAAACGTCCATGATATAATTACCTATCTGGAGCCAGAAAGCTAAACAGAATGTGCACTTTACCTTTTTAAAAATGCTGTTTGAAAAGTATCTAGTAACACTTATAAATTAGGTAATTAAATATTAAACTATTCTTGATTTGATGGATTTTGCTACATCTAATTATCTATATTCACTTCCTGGATACTTAATACTTGTTTGTGAACAGAGTAAAGCCAATCATCCAATCACATGGCAGCAACTCAGTGCCTTTAGGCGTACGAAAATAAAGACTATTTGCTGAAGTTTAAACTAATTAAGCTGAATTTATATAGCTAAAAATATCAGCCTGAGGTGGCGATTCACTAAATTGGGATTTAACAGATTGAATGAAAAGTAGTCCCTGCTCAGCCTTGTTTTCAGTTGCAAAATTTCGATGGAAGTGTTATAATTCGTTCTAAACTACAACAAAGTTTTTATGTTAAGGAATTTAATTGATTTGTGTGACTACCATCTCTTCTCTGTGCTTATATTTTCCTTTTTCAGCGAGTTTTAGGTGAGGAGCAGCAGCGCTGTCTGTCAAACAGAATGGCAAATCGGCTGCCAGTATGGGCAGGGCTTTAACGTCATAGACACGTGTACTAGGAAACAGGAAGTAAATACAGAGGAGTCCACACAGCTACAGGTAGAAAGTGAGTAAAGCCGACTTTATCTTTTAAAAACTGCCGTTTAGATTAATGGTATCAGAAATTAAACCTGGCCGAACTAAAGACATTGTTTCACGTAATTAAAAATAGTGATATTATAAAACATGCATGTTTTATTGCTCTGTAAGAGTTAGAAATTATAAATGTTCGAGAGCTTCTCATTGGAACATCCTGGATAACAATCAGAAGCCTTTAGCGTTTTTTTGGTTATTGTTCAGGGCTGGAAGTAAACTAAGGTAAAGCTGAGAGGTTTTAATTGGAAGAGGTTTGATGTTTTCAGACACATTAAAGCGACTCACGGAGCAGCAACGAATGAATGACTAAGAGAAGTCATTTAAGCTTTAAAGTGAAAATGACAGCCCTCCATTCCAGCATTTAACCATAGCCTGTATTTATGTTGGCAAATAAACACAGCTGTTTTCACTACTCACTAATGAAAGCAGCTTTCACAGCTACTGCCAGATGAATATTTGTGTATGTTTTCTGAAAATGTTTAATAAAGAATCTGGCTTTTGTTATCTTCTACATATTGTTAGTTAGAATCTCCTTTTTCATGTAAGTTTGCAGCGGTGTCACAATTAAACTTTATATTAGCTATTTTTGCTTGCATTTCTACCCTGTGACATCTGACATAGTTGAACTATTTTAGTTATTTTTGTCATTCGGTTTATTTAATCCACCTAATATTGTATTGGTTCATGTCTTTTTTTTTTTTTTAGGGCGTTTCACACTTCATTCAGATACTAAAACAATCATATTGTCATGTGTGCAATATATTTATTTTATTTAAGTCTATACGTTCAAAACCTGCATCCTATTAAATTACAATGAATATAAAAATTAAATGAATTAAAAGTACTTTGCTTTATGCAACAGAGTATTAGGGGCAGGCAAGAGATTATCTTTCTTCTATTTCGAGAATGAAGTCGTAACATTAAGAGAAGGAAGTCGTAACATTACGAGAAGGAAGTCGTAACACTACGAGAAGGAAGTCGTAACATTTCGAGAAGGAAGTCGACAGCCAACAGGTCTGTTGATGACGCTGACAGAGAAGGTGATTGGCTGCAATCTCCCATCTCTCCAGGAGATGGGAGATTCCTGAGGCGTGCAGGTAAGATTGTGGCTGACCCCTCGCACCCCAGTCACAGATTATTTCAGTCACTTCCCTCTGGCAGGAGGCTGCGGTCCATCAGGACCAGAACCTCCCGTCACAAAAACAGTTTTTTCCC